CGAACTATCTGTTGGAAGTTCTGACTGACTAGTGTATATTTGAGACAAGTTTGTTAAATTAGCAAGGTTTAGGTATTAACAATACAAATGGAAATTTACAAGATAATAATCTAATACTCACTACAACAAAAAAATAGTCGTTTGCAACACTAAAAATGCAACAGTTGTTCTTAAATGATGCTAAAACGGTGTTTTGACAATATTTTAGTAAGTGAATGTTGCCATAGATATTAATAAAATACCTTTTGCAACATTTTTTAGAAGAATGTTGTGATAGACACCATTTTGTAACGTTTATTGAGTGTTGCGGAATGTTTCACCTTTAGCAACATTTGACAAACATTACAAAAGTGAGACCTTCCGCAACGTTTGTCAAATGTTGCGAAAGGTCTACGTTTCGCAACGTTTGACAAACGTTGTGAAAGGTCTAATTTTTGCAACGTCTTTTAAACGTTGCGAAAACTTTTGTATTTTTTTAAATATACCCAACCCCAAATTAACTCAAACCATCGTCTCACAGATTTATCGTTCTTCTCCAACCCAAGTCTCCGTTCATTCTACACCAACCCGCCACCTCCACCTTCCGGCACCACGCCCACCGGACAAAATCACCAACAGCCACCACGCCGACTAACAACAACCAACCACACAATCGTAAGCACCGAATTTTTTGCACAAACTCTTAACTGCAGCCAAAAATCGATCGCGTCCGGACGTTGGGCTGGGTACGCCATGTGAAGGGGACGGCAGCCCATGTGGTCCACAACCATGGGTCAATCGGACGAAATCAAAATTTGGGATCTTCGGACCTAGCAGTGCGAACTGTTCGACTGCTTATTCGTTGGAAGTGCAAGCTGTCTGCCTTTTACTTTCTTGTCAACTGCTTATTTTTTGCTTCTTGTTAATTATTCTTGGTTTCTAATTGAATTTTATGCCAGTTTTGCATCTAATTTGATTCTGTTACGATATAACATATTATGATTGATTATATTTGCTTAAAGTTGAAAATTTTGAGGTGGGTAGTGATGATTATAAAGTAGTTCCTCATACTGAATGCTGTTGCTACGGCATGAAAGACCATTTTTACAC